ATTTCTCAAGCAGATGAAAATCCTCTGATCCGGAAGACTACATAAGAACCGGATGTCTCGCTACAACCCGCTGAAGGCTAAGTCACCCAAATCGGAAGACTAGCGCGGATCTCTTTCTCACCCGGAAGTCTGAGAATGACTCCTCCGGATTTGTCAGCTAAGAACCGGATGCCTCAAGGAAGACCGGAATTCTCAAAAAGTGGACAAGTGAGAAAAGACTTAGAAGATTATCTAAGTCTTGAATGAAGAAATTCTACCCGTTGGTAAGGAAAAATCAATCTCTTGATTTTCAACGGCTAGATTGAAGATAATTATGCTGAGTCAAGAACAAATGACTCGAAAACAAAGTCTGAACCTCTAAGAATTGAAGAACCTGTCCAGAATTCCTAAACAAGCACTAGAAGACAAACAGAGTAAAGTTCTACAGTCCAGAATACTTGAACAGCAGCTAGAAGACGGACTCTATGGAAAAAGGAATCTCTCCTTTAACAAATGGGTATGTCCAAACACCCATTCCAATGAGGAATCTTCAAATCACAATCTTCATTCAAAATTAAAGCCAGCAAATGCAACGGATAGTCTATTATGATTCAACGAATAGATTATCCAATCCAGCTATAAATAGCATCCTTGGAAAACTGGAGAAGAAAAAATGAGATACAACAACACTACGAAGCAATCTCTAACAATAAAGCTATCTCATTCCCAGTTAGCACAAAAAGCTTGATAAAGAGAGATTTCTAAACTCCTTATCCAGAAGCAAACTTCTCCTCCTTCCAAAGAGCTATAGTGTAAACACTTGAAGGTTTCCTTGCCTCAAGCACCACACCACATTGAAGGATATTACTTTTGATCAAACTTATTGATTAAAAGGGGGTAGGTCAACTCTCTTACAAGTTGATCTTGCAAGTCCTATTGTTCGGACCTTGCAGTTGTTGAAGAAGCTTGACCTTCGAAGGAACAACAAAGCCAGCACGAGTGCAGTAGCAACATTGGTCTTGTGAAGATATACCGTGCAGAAATTCACACAAGTGTAATTGTTGGTTTATTATTCAACAACCAACTACATAGTGGATTTTGAGGACGTAGAAGGATTACCCCACCTTCGAACCTCGTTAAAGTTTGCGTGTCTCTCTCTCTTATCTTTATTCTTACTTGCAATTATATTAACCGTGAAAACTAACCCATCCATATTGATTACTGCTCACTCTACCCACCAAATTCCGCACACAATCTAAAGTTCACAAGGACTCTAGATTAACACTCATTTTCACGTTTGGGACCACCAATTGGTATCGGAGTGGACTTCTCACTATCTACGTTTAGATTAATGAGAAGCGATCATAATGGTGAACAATATGGATCACGGTTTGCCCAAGTTTTCTCTCTTAGGTTATGATGATTGGAAGATCATGATGGAAGCACATCTCTACGCTCTACATGACTGCATGTGGATGGTGCTTGAGGATGGACCCTTGAAAATCCAAATGGAGAATCCTGAAAGGAATCCAGCAACTCCTGATGTAATCCAGTACATTCCAAAGCCCAAGGAAAAATGGGATGATAGAGATTGTAAAAAGCACAATCTGGACAACGTCGCCAAAGCAGCCATCTTCAAGACACTTGATCCCATCACCTTCTCCAAAATCAAGCATCTCAAGACTGCCATGGAAATATGGCAAGGTCTTGGGAAGCTATGTG